CACCGGGTATAAATTTTGGGGGAAATTCACAAGTTCAGCGAACCAAATGGAAATCAAGAGACATTTTTAGCAAGTTAACAAAGCAACGGGGGGATGAAGTGGAGTAAAGTCACGAAGCTCAAGCTAACCAATGAGATCCCAGTTTTTAATACTGATGCAGAGGCTCGTCCAGCAAGATAGTCGCGGGAAAACAATCTGCAAGCTGCGATCCTATTGGCTGTTGAACTGCGCTATAATAGACTAAACGGTTGCGCGGCAACTCCGCTGTCACGGAATTCAAAGTTAAATTAGTAAACACAATGATATATTCCTTAAAGCACATAACTCTACACCACAATCTTATTTAAAACCATCAACAAATAATGAAGCACAGTCCTGACAAATGTAAACGCAATCGGTTAGTCCTCTGAAAATCAGTGGAAAATGGCAGCCAAAGGCTTCAAATGAAGCGTTTTGTGAGAGCGTTGTATAAAGCTTCCGATCGCTGTGAAATGCAGTAATCGAATGTGGACATAAGGAGACAAGGTCGTATTTCACCGGGAAAAAAAAAGTGGGGGGGGGGGGGGGGGGCGGGTGGGGGGGGGGGGGGGGGGGAGACGAAACATATATTTTCGGTATCGTAGGAATAAGAAAAAAATTATTGCTGAAAGAAACCTGGTACTTATTTTAGGCTTGTTCCACCTGGGGTCCAGTGTTTGGAAAAAACTAAATCCGACTGCATCCAGTCTCGGACCGGCAGGCGAGCGACTATCCACGACGTTACCGTCGTCCCCGTAGTGTACCGGCTAGACCCTCGCACTGCAGATCCAAAGGTCTAAGTTTAAATCTAAACGGAGCGATTTTCTTTTCCACAAACAAATGCCCTTGGCGCCTAGGTCGACCCAACCTTAAATGGATACTAAGTAACATTATGGGAAGTAAAGGCATCCAGTTTAGTGTATGCAGATCATCCAGTGAGTGCAGAATGGTCTATAAAATATAGGTCTAGCAGTGTACGCCCCATACCCCTGAAGGTGCGGACAATTGTCATTTACCGCGCCCACAAACCAGTTAAGACCATGACACAACTGCATCCTTGGGTTTTACTTGCATTTCTGCAGGTAGTTCACGGGTTTGACGTCAACGACCACACGAGCCTCTCTTCTGCCATTGGAGATCTTTACCGTATCACCAGGACTTACGGCGGTACGCGGATCGACGAAGTCATCCATTACGTCAGGACAAAGAGCTTTAGGAGAACGGTTAGCAGAAGTCAGGCAGCCCAGGTAAATTAAAATCTCGTCAATAAATAGCAATATCTTCTCCAGCTACAAACTCTGAGCTGTGTAGTGTTTTGTTTTAACTGGCTTTTATGTTTATCAGACGATTTCAGCACAAGTTTTCAGGGTCTACGTTCTTTGCATTGTATGAAATATGTAAAATCCAATATCTTTGTCATGTACGTCTCTACTCATCATCGGCAAGTGTCATGCCAGCTGACGTTGGCGTTCATTTATCTCCACAGATCTCGGTCTTCGGTGTTGTGGACCAATTTCACTAATTATATTCCTTCATGCCACTGTCCTAAGTCATCCTAAATCATTTTCCTTGGTCTTCCTCTGTCTCTTCTACCAGTGATCTTTCCCGTCGTCACGATGTTTCCGGGTGCTGCCTTTCTTATTACATGATGAAAGAACATTGTTTGTCTACTTCTCATTGTTGAATATAATGTTCTTCTTTTATTAGACATTTCCAAGCAATCATTGTTAGTTATTCTAGCAAACAAAGGTATTCGCAAAATTCTTCTCAAGAACCATATCTCAGTTGCCTCCAAACTCCTCTTATTTTGTTTTCTCACATCTTAAGATTTACTGCCATACAACAGAGCAGGTTGGATGTAACATTTCAATCAATACTCGTTTTTGGATGTTTAATGAAATTGAAATATTACACAAGTTGCTTTTCATTTTCTGAAATGCTGCCTTTGCATGGCCAATCCCGCCCCTAATTTTTGTCACACGTCGTCCTTTTGATGTTATGAATGTCCCCGATACGTAAATTTATTTGTTAAGCTCTTTCTCTTCTATTGTTAGGTCACACTTGGGAGTTAACTTCTTCTTTGACATAATCATTGTTTCTGTTTTCTTGACATTCTATGAAAGCCCTTTTCTGCCCTCTTTAGTAACACAATATCTAATAGTTGTAAGACTTCTGTGTTTTCCGCTGTTAATACTGTATCATCTGCGTAACAAAGTTTTTTTTTTTGTTACAAACTCCAACTAGTATTCCTGGTCTATCCTGACCTCCCTTAATATTTTTTTTTGTTTTTTCACTATAGAGAAAGAAGAGATCCGGTGATAAAAGTCATACTTGCCTCACATCTTGCTTTATCTGTTTATAGCTGCCTTTTTTATTTCCCAATTTAATTGCTGTTTCTTGCTTCCAGTAAATATTGATTATTATT